TTTTCAATATCTATAGCTGTTATTTCATTTGCTTTATCCAGACTCCATATAGTCTCTCTAGGTACTCCATAACTCAGTGCAATAATAATAAAAATAAATAACATTATTAGTTGTTTTTTATTTCCTTTTTTTTTAATATTAAATTTTCTGTACTAAAATAGTATCCTCCCTGGAGCTGGTGCTCTTCAAGTCATGTCTCATAGACAGTACATTCCACACTCATTTACCAATGGAAATGATGCAAAAAGCCCCTTCCTAATGCTCCATGAACTTTATGTACTCATGGTGGGTTATTCCTATCACTCTGGCCTTTAGCCAAAAGCCTCATGACAGCTTCACCCCAAATTTGCATCACCACAACCCATAGTCAAATTTTCCCATGACAGCATGTTCACATCACCCAACCCTCAAGCCAATTTTTTTCATGGTGTGATGGTCACTTCATCTGGATCTTAGAAGCTAATATCATGGTCATTTTGTAATAGCACATAAATATTTTACAGTTTCTTGAAGAACCCCTGGTGATGGTCAGTAAAATCCTAGTAGGGAATGCTGTTTTAACCAAAACCACCACATTCTGTCTCCTGTAGGTTTTTGTTTGTTGTTACATACAGATGGCCCCACATGTGCTCAGCCGGCAAGGAGTATATCAGTAGGCCCTAGTGACTGATCCTGATTTCTAAATTCCTTGAATTGGTGGGAAAATGTGTTTTTCTTTTCAATACCATTGACATTGATAGTTATTATTTTTACTGATGTTATGATTATTAAATTGATATTTATAAGCTTAATAACATTTAACAATGAAATAATATAAAAGACCCTTTCCAAAAGTCAAGGAAAAGAGTAACCAGGAGAGATAGGTAGGACTAATAATTGACTCCTTGGTGATTAAGCACTTGTAGAGCCAATAAATGAACTTATATTGTATTACAGTGGGCATGGCATGTATTCTTGCCATCCATACCAATTGGGCTAACCCAATGGCACTGTATGATGGGCAATCACAATATGGCCAATATTAACAAATGCCAAGTGACACTTCATCATGTCAGTATTCTATGTATAAATGGCTGAAATTAGCTCTCGCATACAGATCAGATGCTGGACAATTGCTCAAGTGCAGAATGGCATATACTGATATGTGCCCTTCCTCACCAGATTCAATTAATCTTAAAATAAAATTTTAAATCTGTCTATCAAGTACATGCCAGATTGGAACAGATACAAGGGTTGCTGGTCCAGATCTCCTCCCACTGGGATACTGGACCATCAATGCCCTCTGGATTCATTATGATACTTATGTGTCTTTTTCGTTTTAAAACTCACTGTAAAGATGTTAACAAAACACAAACCATAAATACTGGTTATAAAATGACACAATAGTAAAATAAGCATGTAACTTGAGTAACTTATTAGCTATATATTTACGGCATTGGAAAAAAAAAAATTGCAGTAGATAAAAATGGAAATGATTGAGATAACAACAGAAAAAAAAAAAACCAATTAAGAATAATGAAATAAAACTGATGACAGAAGATTATACTAACATCTTTAAATACAAAATCTATTACTCATAATTCAATTTCCTACACTCTATGCAGATCCATTTAAAAACTTGATTTAATCTGTGATAGTTTACAATCTAACCTGCAGTGGGCACAGTGTCATACAACCGTCATGGCCTAAACACCTCCAGAACAGCAGCAAAGCACAACAAACTTCACTCATGTTTACAAACGTTATATCTAAAAGGTACGGAACCTGAAAGCCTAAAAACTAAAAAGCCTAAAAACCTGAAAGCCTAAAAACCCTAAAAGGTACGGAACCCGACAGTCTTTGCGAAACACCCACGGCATTTACACCAATATGTATGTCTGTACTGCCCATTGGCCACACAATAGACAGCAGAAGACATATGGGTGTCTTGTACTAATTTACTACGAAAACTATAAAGGTCAAAGTTAAAATAAGACATTTTACAAAATATTCTGACAAACAATACTGATCAAAAAGTGGCTGTGGAGGTGTGACACCCATCTCCACAGGCATCTCCTATAATTAAAGATCATACAGCCAGCAGAATGGAAGCTTTCCTCGAATTCACTTAAATAAAACTTCGAGAGCTTCAATACGATGACCAAAAAGGCGAAAATCTCGAAAAAATTAACGACGATCATGACGTTATTCTCATCCCGCCACTTCCCTCCTCCTCCTCCTCCCTTCCTCTTTTATCCCCTCCTCCCTCACTTCCCATTCGTTGACGGACTCCCCCCCTTTCCTTTCTATGCCCTCTCCCCCGTTCCTCATCCCCTAAAGGCGTTCAAATCTCTAGCGTCCCTAAAACCCTAAAAAAAATGCCTTTGTTATTGTCTCCTCTCAGTAATTCCCCCTCAAGCGGCAGTGTTGGGCATCACCCCCCCATCTCTCCTCTATTTCAACGTCATTCTGGGATAAAACTCCCTCTAACCCCCATCTTGCCCTTCTCGAATATACCTAC